TTTAAGCTGAAAAATAATTTATACTTTACAAGCGTGTTGGGTTTATTTCGATGGATATTGTGACGGTCACGCCACGGTTTTCAGCTTCATTGTGGGTGCGCCAACGCTGCATGCTTCTTCATATAAATCTCCAAAAAATTCCAACTGATCGAGCATAAGTATTGAACAACTCATTAACTTTTCAGCGTCGAGCTCGGGTTATACTCTCGCATGCGTGCATATGTATCCAGTTTGCCCCACACGCCCACAACACTACGGCAACTCTCGGACTCTAGTCCTCGACGTCGTTGTCGTACTCGAGTTATAAGAGAAAGACCGAGGGACGGAATTTGCATAACAGAATGAGCCAAAGCCGATCCCAAAGGAAATGTTAAAAGTCACCTGCGCCTATATAATACATATATATATACCGGACTGGCTTTAATGGCTTTCAGAAACCCGTACTCTATAAATAGCTAGAGCCCAGTGGGTGTCAAAATTTTTATGGAATATGGTAATCAGTATCATTATTATTTTACTTTACTTCCCCCCCCCCTCACCCATTGAGTGGTCTTCTTGTTCTGCTACAGAAACGCAGTTGGTTGAAGACACGCGCGAGTATCGGAGCAAATAGTACGACAAAAGACATCGGCTAGGGAAAACGGAGACGTCACCCGGTGAGGCAATAAATCACTGCGGGAGCAGATTTACACTCTCCTAATACTGCACGCGCGGGAGGTGGGGGAGGACAAATCTCTCACGTTTCCTGTCAAGTCATTCCGCTTATGGTCAAAATTAAAGCACGCGCGCGATGATTCTACACAACATTTCGCCGATTTATTGTTTATTTGCGCAGGTCTTCTTCCGGTTTTCTAATTACGACAGCACACAACTGTCGATTCGAAAAATTTAAATGACCATATCGTAAATTCATACGGAAAGTAGGACATTCTTTGCAAGACTGGTGTTTTCAGTATACGTTTGAGTACATGTGCTTCATTTGTATACGTTTCTGCTACTTGTTCCGGCCAAAAGAGACATTTATGGTTTATTTGATTAAACAATGAAAATTAAATTAACCGAGAAATCGTTTTTCCACGTTTATCTTATTTTTCTCTCGTTACTCTATTGTAAATTAAATATTATTTTTCAAACGAATAGGTACAAGTTAAATGGTCTGGACGAAATTTGTCAAAGTAAGGATTAGAGGAAACCTTATTCATGAAAAAATCAAAAAAGTAATTAAAATTAATTGTAAAAAACAAGACTCACGTGTTTTGCACGGATGCAAGTGATTGAAAAATAAACTAGACGTAACTTGAAACTAGATAAAAGCAAAAAAAAAAGAAAAAAAACCACTGCATACAACTACTCATCTCCGATTCAGATAATCGAAGAGCCGGACGGGCATTTGTCGTTGGTCGTTGTGTTTCAGTGCAGCATCAGCATCTGCCGATATACTTTTTATCACGTCGCGACATCCGCTCGGCTCCCGGCGACGTAACACACATCCGGTCACTCGCATCCCCCTCCCCCCATCCCTTTTCTCGCTCCGTTCTGCTATCTTTCTTTTTTCTTCGGCCTGAAGAATAAAAAAAAAATAAATAAAAATAAAAACCGTTTAAGAGATAGTCGCGCAAACAAGCAGAGCGAAAAAGTAAAGAGAGAAGAAGCAGCAGTTCTCTACACGTACATATAGTACCTGCAACGATGTTGCTGCTGCTGCTCGGCATGGGGCTTTTCGTGATTAAGTCAACTGCTTTTTTCTCGCTGGTAAGGCAGAGAGTAGATTATTCCAAAGTTTTTTTTCTTCTTCCATTTTTAGATCGCATGTTAGCAGGACGCGCTTTTTTAAAACTCGTTGTTGAGATGTTAATTTAAAAATCGTGTACTACTTCGATTCCAGAGTCATTAAGAGTTTTGTTACGTATAGACTGGACGACCACGAAAAAAACATGTACAAATCTTTTTTCATTTGGATTACAAAAAAAAACAACTAACTTAGACTCAAGTTGAACAAAGATTGAAGTCAAAAAAGTAGTTGATTTAGTTTGGAGTTTGAGAAGTAGTGATTAGGAATGGGGGTCAAAAAGGGTATTTGATAAAGGTGGGGTCGGCTTCTCGCCACGTACAGACGCCCATAAGAAGTAACATGGAGCTTCGAGAGACTAGTTTACATTATTGTTCATGTTTTTGTTACCTTGGGGTCGAATTTAATTTTTCTCTTTTTAAAATGGGAAGTGGCTATATTTTCAATAAATGTGGTGAACCCGTGGACAGCTTTTTATATTACAGCTTCCATATTAATTTTCTCCAACTTCAATCTTCCACACCTCGTAAAATACGCTGTCGAAAAATCTGAAAAAAACTTTAGACAAATGACTCATTCAATTTTCATATATCACTGGTGAATGTGATGCTTATCAACAAGAAGCGCCTCGAGATTGGGATGATAAAAACTAACATCGACTGTCCCCTTTAACCAGCTGCGGAAACCCAAATGCCCATTGGAGCGATCAACGATGAGAACCAGAAGAGAAAGAAAAAAAAAAAAAAAAAAAAAAAAAAAAAAAAAAAAAAGAGAGATGAAAAATGATCCAACGAAAATTCGTACGAAAAAGAAGAAGTAGACATCGTTCAGGCAAACAAATCAAAATCCGGCCATATGGGGCACGCAGGCCATCACGAAACGTCAATTAGCCCGGCCGAAAAAGTATGTCAATAACGCGCATCTCCCCCCCCCCTTCCTCGGCCCCCTCCACTCCATTATATACGCGCGGGCGATCGGCAAACTCGTGGGCGGCCCGTGTCATCGACAGCAACGACGTTATTCCGCCCACTCGTGTAGTTACGTACGTTATCCTCGCTCGCGTACCCACATGCCTGCCCGCGATCGTGAAACACACCCCAACTTTTTGCGTTCGACGTGCGCATGGGGGGCAAAAAATCTATCCACCACCACTATATTATACTTGTAACAGAGAGAGAGAGAGAGAGAGAGAGAGAGAAGAAAAAAAAGAAAAATCGAATGAGGACCCTTGGAGCACGTCCCACGCGCTCGGGGTGGATGTACCAGAGCCAAAAGTCCTGGCTACACGTATCGCGGGTATACATCCAAAGAGAGCCAATCCACACAGTGACGTCACACTACGGCCCCCCCGTTTATTTCTTTGCTGTACTTACAATCACACGCGTGATCACAATTCTGGATGGTATAGATACGAGCAAAGGGGAGGAAATCAATGGGGAGAGCTGGGAGCTCCCATTCATGAGCGGGAACGAGTCGTACTGTATAATATACTTTTATACGACTACACGACTTCGGCGCTTTTGGATTTTAGGGCCATCTTTTTAATTTTCATTTATAGCCATGTCGAATAGGGGATGATGGATATGCCTGTTAAGCCGGTGATTTTTTTTTTTTACTTTAGGCGTAGCTTTAGATCCGTAAAAATGTTATTCGGGGTAAAGTCAATCGATCGGACAATCTTTTGTTTGCACAACGTATGAAGACGGATTGGTCACGAGAAAATTCTTACCTCGTTCAGTTCTACTATACTGCAAATGGATGATTTTGTTATTAATGCATGTTTAGGGGTGTGTAGGCATAGTACGAGTACACCGTCAAACGTTTGTAGGTGACTCAACATGAGCTTTGAGAATAGGGAGTCGAAACAAGGACGATCGGTAAAAAAATCGTCGTGAAAATTATCGTATGAACAAATAATCATTCAAGTCTATAGTTTTAAACGATGGCAAACACATTGTGTGTACGTGTGTAATGTACGCAATGTTAGGGTAGGTGGAAGTGTAAAATTTTTAGGTATACTGTACTCACAAGTATTGCACAAATCTGTAGTACAAGTACGTGCCACACGATTATGTGGGTAAAGAGCGACGCTGCATTGAAATTAAGTGATCCTTGTTAGGATTCGTTCAGACAATTTTCGCTAAAATCACAGGTTTACGAAAGCGTGTGGGGGAGGGACGGTAAGTGCAGAAAATTGTGGCGCCAACGCCAAAAATAGTTCCCGTTTTACGTTACCACTCATTAAGTACACGCGCGCTCTTGTCACGGGTGACCCTCGAGTGCGTTTCAATGATAATTATTGTGCCCACTTGAGCACGCAACGTAAACATCTTTCACGCGAGTAATTGCACTTGCGATGACTTACAAAAATACAAACTACATACTTGTATACGCTGCTGATAAATATTAATTGTTTGAAACTTGTTGAAACTAATTTATCTTCTGGTTTTAAAGAAATCATAAGAAAAAACGCGAAAATGTATCGGTATGTATCGGTGGGACGGGCTTGTATCACGAGGCTGGTAAACAAACTATATGTATATGTATTTTATGTGGGCACCAAAGTAACAACAACAACAAACAGGTCGTCCTCTTGGAGGAGTTGTGCTCGGCAAGGGTCAGGGGGGGGGGGGGGCCTGGCTTTTTGAGCACACCTA